CCAGCCAATTAAGGAGAGACCAGCTGGAAAAGGGAAAGTTTCGGCACTTGAACTAGACTGAATGAAAGCAGGGAAACCAGTGGGCACGGGGCAAGCGTGGGGTCCAGGGTGCTGGCGCCTACCCAGGAAACAGACCATCTCCAGAGTGCTGACCACATGCCAGGCACCGCGCTAAGTGCTCACAACCACCCCACGAGGCAGGAACTAGTCTTATCCCCACTTTAAGGATGAGGAAACCCAGGCACAGACAGGATAAGAGCTGGTTCAGGCCACTCAGCCGGTAAGTCAGGATGAGAAAGAGAAATGGGTATTGTCTTTGGGGGGGGGGTGGGTAGGAGGGGCTCCCCACAGGAGAAGGGGTGCTGCAAAGGCCATGCTGTCCGAGAACCGAGAGCTGGACCAGAGTCCGCAGGCTGCTTACAGCGTCAGTGATGCTGGCCCCAGCAAGCTTGCAGCCAAACCAACAGACGTGGACCTGGTCCTCCAGGCGGTGGTGGTCCCTGCACCGGGAAAGAGAGGATGGGAGGAGGGACAGGCCTGGGGTATTAGTTCTGGAGTCAGGGGGAGGTACCTGTGAGCCGCGCACCCACTGAGCAGGTACACAGCCTGGGGCCTGGGACAGGTCTGTCTGGATGTCCAGCTATGTGGGCTACACCTGCTGAGAGGTGCGGCCATGAACGCGGGGCAAGATTCACCCAGGAAAGCCTGGCAGAGGTTTTCAAGTTTGTTCAAAATACAGGTGTCCTTGGGGCGCCTGGGTGGCTCAGTCGGTTGAGCGTCCAAACTCTTGGTTTCTGCTCATGTTGTGATGTTGGGGTCCTGGGATCGAGCCCCGAGTTGGGCTCCATGCTCAGCGGGGAGCCTGCCTGTCCCTCTTCCTTTGCTCCTCCCCCTGCTTGGGTGCTCTCTCTCTCTCAAATAAATAAATAAATAAAATATTCAAAAATCTCTATATAGGCATCCAAGCCCCCTGGAGGCTATCAGCTCTGCACATCTGCTGCAGTGGGCCAGGGCAGGGCCTCGGGGATCAGCCACATTTACAGGCTAGCAGGGGGCCGGGAGCCAGCAAGCCACAGAGACATATGACTGACCGAGAGGAAGGAGGACAGCCAGGAGAGAAGGACCTGGAGCTTAAGCGAGGAGACGCTTTCCAGGAGGAAGAGGGGGCCTTTGCGTGAGATGCCACTTGGTGCTGGAACAAACCATGGACCGGCTGGCCCCAGCTGCCCGCCCTGTCAGTAGGGAGGTGTGGTGGAAGCCCGCTTATAGGGACGGAAGAGGGGAGACCGTTCTGGAAAGGGGGAGAGGGGCTTGGCTGAAGGCAAGGGAGCGGA